TAAGTCTTTTAACGGTCTGGTCTACATGTTCGTCCCATCGTAGATGTTGGTCTACATATACACCAAGATATTTCATGTTGCTTACCTTATCAACTGTAGGACATGTGCATATCATTGGGCTTTGGCAAATAGGTTTGTGTATAGTGAGCTTATTTTTGGAAGGTTGATCTTTATTTGTGGGACGTACTCAGTTTTAGCGGTGTTTAGGCTCAAAAGACTTGTGTTTAACCAAGAGAAAACAGATATGAGTCCTCTTCTACCTCTTTCAAAGACGTCGTCCCACGTATCGCCTAGAAATGACAGAGCTGTATCGTCTGCGTCTGCAGACGATAAGCTCTGCTGCCTTGGATGTTTTCAAGTTTGTAAATGTCATTGATGTATATTAAGAACAAAATTGGGCCTAGTACTATCCCTGTGGGCCGCTCATGGTTAAAGGTAGTGGATCACTATAAATATTGTTTCAAAAACCTCAGTAAAATATGATGATTGATAGTGTCAAAGTCTTTCGTCAAATCTAAAAAGACTGTTAGGCACTTTTTGCCAATATTGAAATTATTCCATAAACTATGAACCAATTGAAAGACAGCATTTTCTGTTGACATATGTTCTCTGACTCCAAACTGGCATTCATTTAAGATATTATTCTTGCCTAGGTGATGAACAAGCCTATTTTTCAAGCATTTTTCGAAAATTTTTGGCAAATTTTTTTAAGCCAGATTTGAATATTGGGATGGTAAAAGAGTGTTTAAAAGCAATAGGTACATATCCTTGTATGAAACATAGGTTGATAAATGACACAATGGAGTCAGAAAAAAGCGATTATATTTTTTAATAAATTGAACTGATACACCATCAGGGCCAACGGTGCTGTTGTTTTTCAGAGTGAATATAATTTTCACAACCTCGTTTTCTGTAACCGGATTCTGGAAAATAGAGTCCGAAATATTAGAATCTCTTTCTGGTAAAGTGCCGTGTTTATCAATTTTTTCTGCCTAGTTGTACAATCGATCGCTTGAAATCTTTCCCGGCAAATTATTATTATATAAATGAACCATACTGTATATCCTATATCCTACCTTGCTTCAAATATTACACGATTCACACTTTATGAGTAATGTACTATCCCTCTTTACTATTCAAAATAATTAAAGACACCTATAAAAAAAAGACCTTTCCCTCTTTTGTATGCCAAAGTTCCAGAGCCATCTAGCTAATATATGCTTCGCGTCTAGTTACGGTTCTACCCACCGGCGATAACCTAAATTATTAAGATGACATTCCGGTCTTTTTGTTGCAGGAATTCCTTCTGGCGATCGATGTAACGTCGAGCGGCACCCCGGAGGAAAAACTCAAATGGGCCTTCCGTATGTACGACGTCGACGGTAACGGTGTTATAGACATCCAAGAAATGACCAAGATCGTCCAGGTGAGTAGATGGGTTCATATATTTTTGGAATAGATGTAGGATATAGACTGGACTATCTGAAATGTCCGCAAGACAAATTTGCCACGGAAAAAATGTTTCGCAAAAATCCAAAATCATGTAGGGCTTGTTTATAAAAGGGGAAAGTTTTGATAAGAAAAACTGATTAAGTGAGGTTATGATTCCCCATTTCATAAGAAAGAGATGAAAAAAAGGCTTTCGGTTTCCTTTCTATTGCTGGGCTTTGGAAGTTGTGGAGCTGAAATGTCAATAATACTTTTTCAAAAAAAAAAATCCAAACTCAATTGGATTCCACGCATGAACTTGACAAATTGATCAAGTAATGAAAGGAGGAAAACAATATGTTAATCGGTTTTATTGAGAATGATATATTGAGAAAGAAATTGAGATAATAATGATGTAGATAATGTACTAAAAACTAAAAAATAATTCGGAAAGTCCTAGGTAGCAGCCATCACACCACCCTTATCTGCAATTTATTTGATCAATACCGTAGATTATTGAGGAAAGTGGTGTGATGACCTTGAACCTTCCTAATCATTTTTCAGTATCAAGTATAATATCTACATAATTATTATCTTTTTTTTTAATGAAACCGTTTAACAACTGTGTAGGTATATCCGAGGCTGGCTAGAACGTTTAAAGTTCATTTCTTTGGATTTGTTTACTGCCATTCTTCAAGCATAGTCCACTGACTAATAAGAACATATTTTTTATATATTTTATTTTCATGTTTTTGGTTTCCAATTTTGTTACTCAATTCTTCTCATTCTGTTCAGTTCATTTAATGCGTCAGTATAACAAGGTCATACGTAATCCGCCATTTTGTAGCTGCGGCCATCTTGAATTTGCAACTTTTTTTTTGAGTGTACTACTATACTACTACTATGGAGAACCAAGAGCTGTTGCGCTCGATATTTTTAAAGCCTTTGGCCAGGTGTGGCATGAGTGTTTGCTGGGCCTACCAGAAACCCTACCAGTAAAAATGAAGTAACATAATTTTGTAACAGAAGAAAGAAGTTTCTGTCCTGAATTTCCAGAGCTGTGACTAATGAGGTCTCGCATATGGCTAGGGCGGAAATAATCTAAACCACCAGCAGAACCAGAACGGAAAGATTTAATTGATAATAATAATAATAAATATGCTTTACTGTCCAAAAAAAGTTCTTATTGATAAAGCTTTGGTGACCATTTTGAGAAAGAAAAATCATAGTCAAGTGCATGAAATCAGAATATAAGCTAGTAGATTGATAAAAATATCTAGAATCCTACCATATAAATATGAAAATAAAAATTTTGATAGTCGCATTTTCTGAAAAACATTGGATTATATACAATATTAATGCAATATAAACAAATATAAACAAAATAACATACATACACACACACATATATACACACATATACACATGTGTGTAGATTGGATCACCGGAAACTATAAAAAATCGTGTGGTAGTTGCGAATCCAGAGAATGTGTGAAGGAATCTGATTGAGGATGTTTTGATCGGAGAACTGAAAGTGTGGATTCATCGTACTCGGCAAACGTATCACTTAGCTCAAGATTATGATAGCTGACCTAATGTCACCATGTTTTACATTTTTATATTTTATATCGATTTTCACTGTATCAATGGTACTCAATGAATACTATATGTAAGGAATTTAAAAAAACTGTGCATCATGTAAGTGAAAATCATTCTGTTTGTTGTACAGTGTAAATAAATTTATATTCTATTACATTCTATTCAAAAGGAAGCTTTCGAAATTTCATGATATTCCACTCATAAGTTCGTGAGTTATTGTGCTAAGTAAGCAATTTCTTGCTTTAATTTAACACTGCTCGTTAATGGAAAAAAATACCGTTCAAGCAAAGCAATGGCTTAAAAAGTGTTATAAGGACATCAATTAAACGTTGATTTGTTAATTTCAAGCGCGGTCATAGGGACACTGATGATGCCGAAGGCAGTTGACGTCCAAATGAGACAGTAACACCAGAAAACATAAAAAATATCCACAAAATCGTTTTGAATGATGGAAAAAAAGTTGCGTGAGTTAGCTGACATTTTAAAGCTATCGAAAGAACGTGTTGGCTTTATATTGCATGAGCATTTGACTATGAGAAAGCTCTGTTCAAAGTGTATGCCGCGCGAGCTCACTGTTGATCAAAAACAAAAACGTCTTGATGATTTTGAGCAGTGTTGGCCATGTTTAAACATAACAAACGGGAATTTTTGCGTCGATATGTGGCAATGGATAAGACATGGATCCAATGTGTGTGTGAAGCCTAATAATAATAATAATAATAGAGCTCCATCAGAAAGTCAGTCATGGTATGTAAACAACTGCATTAAAAATTATGAAAAGCGGTGAAGCATAAAGTATATGACGTTCTGAAAAACTAGTAGTAAAGAAGTATATTAGCCAACTGTAAATGAATAGCGAAAACGAATTAAAAATGGCTACCAAAGCCAGAATAAAAACTGTCAACAAATGCCCTTATCAGTTGAAGATAAGCATTTGGCTAGGAGTGTCCATACACGTTAAAATCTAATTGCCGAGCTATTGAAATGGAAGAACTTCGTCAAGAAGTCATTAGAAATAGAAAAGAGATAAAAAGTGCAATAGAATCGAGCGAAGCCAGAGTATTACTGACATTAGAGGAATTAAATAACAAAGTGAATAAATTGGAGAGGAAAAATCAAGACTTGAGCTACTGGAAAGGACAGCAAAAGAAAATAATATCTTGATACTTGGTTTGGACCAAACAACAGAGAATACTGTCAATGTTTGCACGACATTAGAAAATTCTCTTGGTATCAATATCACTGAAGATGATATAAATAACATTAATCCATTGAGAAATATGAAAACAAACCCATTGAAAGTGGAGCTGATATCTTATATGAAAAAACAAGAGATACTAAGAAATTGCAAGAAGCTGAAGGGAACAAATATATCAATCCTAGAGGACTTGACATTTGAACAAAGGGCAAAAAATAGAATATTACGTGAAAATCTGAACAGAGCAAGACTAACCAAGGAAAATATAACGTATATAAAAGAAAACAAACTGTACATCAATAATAAAGCATACACAGTGGAACAACTTGAAATCGCTGAAGAATATCCCCTCTGCGAAAAACATAATAGCGCACCTCCCACACCAAACATAAGGAATAAATAATATACTTTAGAAATAGAATCCAGTCAGCCAGAAGTTTTCAACGATACAATCAGCCAAGGCACAGCTACACAAGGAACGGAATCCCATCAAAAAAATAAGACTACCGAAAAATTAATTATCGCTACGAACTCTAGTATAATTAAAAAAAAAACAGGAGAACCAGCTTCCGACGGAAAGAACAGACTACGATCAGCAAATAAATAAATAAACACCGACAACGGCAAGCTGTAAATTAACTACACACATATTCTTATGATTCTATAGGTATTCCAGGAATAGCATCTTTACATAATTTTATAGTAGAAAAAATAAGAACATACCCCCTGAATAATTGCAATGAAGCGAAAAAAGTCTTAGCGATAAATAATAAATTCAATGATATAAAAGTCCTCAATACTAATATTTGCAGTATTTCAAAAAATATAGATGAACTCATAATCAATTTTGAAGAGCTTAAAACTTCTTTCGACTGCATAGTCTTAACAGAAACTTGGCACGTGCCTGATACTTCCACCCTCAATATGACTGATTATGTTACTCTATACAATGACAGCAACTACAACCAAAATGACGGTGTCATTGTGTTTGTAAAAGCAAACTTTTATCATTCCTGTAATCATATCGAACTAAACGGAAGTGTATTACTGAAAATCAATATGACTGTAGATGAACAGACCATCTGCATCTATGCGTTATATAGATCTCCAGCGAGTAAAATTGATGACTTCCTAAATCAACTTAACGAATTGCTAAACAAAGAGAATAAAAACCCACATTACAGTTCATTCGTTGGTGAAACTGAAGACTCGAGAACAATTATCTAACATTATGAGTGAATATGAGTTTCACTCTACCATAAACACCACTACCAGAGCAAGGAATCATATATTTATTAAAACGAAACAGCAAAACTTCAACAATCTATTATCTATTACTATCTCCACCACAATCACAAATCATTACATAACGCTATTAGAAATCGTACTGAATAATGAAAAAAAAAATGAAATAAATAATAATTCAAAAAAATACTTTCAAAGATTGGTCAAAACAGAGCTGCTTGAATCCATAAAGATTATTATTGAGTTCATTAGCAAACCTCTAATGGACATCATAAATAAATCTTTTGAATCTGGGACATTTCCCTCAGTTCTGAAGAAGTCAATAGTAACTCCAATTTTCAAATGCCGCGAAACAGATAATGTCACAAATTATAGGCCTATATCCCTTTTATCATCGATCAGCAAAATTTTCGAAAAAATTCTAAAAGCCAGATTATGTATATTTCTAACCAAATATAATTTACTGTCAACATCTCAGTTTGGGTTTAGAGATAATAAATCTACTACTGATGCAATTCATTCCCTAACATCATCTATGAATCTCTAGACTCGAGTACCCCTTCAGTAGGTGTTTTCATAGATCTGAAAAAGGCATTCGATACGGTCGACCACTCCATACTTCTAGATACCTTAGAAGATATGGGCGTAAGAGGTACTGCACACACATTACTAAAAAGCTACTCAACAAATAGAAAACAAAGAGTGAGAATTGGAAGCCAAGTCAGTGCAGAAATGGAAATAACATGGCGGTATACCTCAAAGGACAGTACTGGGGCCGGTGCTATTCGTGATCTATTTGAATGACTTATTCATACAAAAAACAATCGGGAAAATTAAAAGTTTTGCAGACGACACGGTAATATACTATAAAGATGGAGACTGGTACAATCTGAAACTAAACATTGAAAAGGACCTAAGAAATTATGGCATCATATGGCTTCAGTATTTTAGGATGTGCGTAGTGTAATATTCATCGACTATCTTGAGAAGGAAAATACCATCAACAGTGAATATTATATAGAGTTTTTGGAGCATTTGAATGCCAAAATTACGGAAAAACGACCCCATTTGGAGAAGAAAAAGAAAGTGTTACTTCATCAAGACAATCAAGATCTGTTGCGCGTGATATTTCTAAGGCCTTTGACTGTGGTTGGCATGAGGGTTTGCTGGCCAAACTTCGATGCCATTTCTTATCGTATCATTTTTGTGTAAGGCTCTTCAGCTTCCTAAAAGAATGTTCCTTGCAAGTGGCCGTCAATGAATATCTCTCGAATACTTTGACCATCAACGCTGGTGTTCTTCAGGGATCCATATTGTCACCAACCCTGTTTTTATTGAGACAGCACACTTGTCTCGTCATTACATTAGGATTCCATTACATCGGCTGCGGATGCACATTTTCACCGGCAGTAGGAGGTTGAATATCTCAATGATGATCTAGAAGTGATTTCGAATTGAAGTGAAATCAACCAGGTTCAATTCAATGGCACAAAAACCCTGGAATCGGTTTTTTCCCAAGAAGATAAACGTTTCCGAACCAGATATAATAATGTCAGGTCAGATAATTCCGCTTTCTGCTTCAATAAGTTTGTTGGGGGTTAAAATGGACACCAATATCTTGGCACAATTATGTCGCTGGAATTGCAAAGGCTGCTTGTCAAAAGCTTGGAATACTGTTCCGAACCATGAATCTGTACACACCTCAGCCACTTAGACCTTCTTTGAGGTATTATTCCCATGTATGGAGCTCAGCCCCCAAACATAGCCTGAAGATGCTGTATTCCATCCAGAAAAGAACCATTCGCCTGATTGGAGACGCGAACATCACTTGCAACCTTGATAGTCTGGAACATCGAAGAGAAACAAATCTTCTTCTGTAGATACTTTCACGGGAAGTGTTCAAGTGACTTGGCACATTTGATTCTACCAAGAGCGCTTCATATCAGAAATACGCGACGGACTGTGACTGCTGATCGTTTCGAGGTTCAACTCAGTACACCTCGAACTCCACTGTATAAGAACTCTTTCACAACACAACAACTGTTTGAAATCAAGCTTCGGAGGGTGAATAAACGCCTTGGAGTGAGCCAATCCTGGAAGATTCTGCCAGACGTCCATAACTCTTCTTGCCATCCAGGTGTTTAGTGTTTTTTTAGCAAAGCCCAAAGCGATGCTAATGACAGGTTCTGGTCCAATGAAGCCGCTTGCAGCACCCTCCTTTGCAAGAGAGTCTGCAGCTTCATTGCCTTCCAGACCAGTATGGCCAGGAATCCAGACCAGAGACAATCTGTCAAGTGTTCCTATCGAGGAGAGTCTTCTTTGTCAGTTTGCTACCAATTTAGACGTTGCTCGGTAGGAGCCAAGAGCTTCCAACGCCGCTTGACTGTCCCAGAATATTTTTATTGACTTGTGTGTGAGGTTGGATTTATCCAATCTCTCCGCACACAATTCAATAGCTTAAATTTCCGCTTGAAGTTCCTTGGCAGGTAAATAACTCTGTCCTGGGTCTGCGACTGAAAACACCTGCACCAGAACCGGAAGGTGTTTTCGATCCATCTGTGAACCAACAACTATCTGGTCTTAATATTTCCTTCTCCCGGAGGATCCAATCCTCTCTACTCGGGGATAGTACTTCATAAGGCAGCTCGTAGTTGACAGTTGGAGGCATGAATTCAGAGGTCATTTCCACAATGCTGTGACTTCCAATGTCAACCAACAGTCTGTTGCAGTCTGCATAGAATTGATTTGTGGAATTGGCAATGTGCACAAGTCTGTACGCAGTCCATTTAGCCTCTCTTTCCAGAAAAAAGTGGAGATCCTAGAAGGATCTCCATGGCCGCCAGAGAGCTTCGCTTGGGCCATTTTCTGTAAAGCCTTCGGCCACCAAGCAATTGCACCATGAGTGATCATTGGTCTGACAATCATCACAATAATCCAATGGATTTGTTTGGGACCTAAACCTTAAGTTTTACCACAAATCTTTCGACATGTCCATAGAGACAGTCTGGCTCTGTGTAAAACTTTTTCCAAGTGGGCGTTCCAGGTGAGTCAAGATATTTCACCTCCGTTCCAAATGGAACTATAGACCAAAGACGCATATGTTTTCAAAGGGTTTAACCACCACGATGTATAACCAATACATTATGTCTGGTTTGAGCCCCCATGTTTTTCAATAGGTACGTTTGGCCAGCAGGTACATCTGACTCTTTGGTGCCAGTTTCACGTCAACCTGGGATCTAGTATCACTCCCAGATATTTGACCTTTCCCTGATAGTTAGTGCTAGTAAAAGAAATAACGATCAGTCGGCATATCAATCTTATAGGTTTCAATATCGGTTGATTATTGAAAAGAAAAAGTCTTCAGGCAATGCATCGAATTCGTCGCGAAATATTTTTCAAATCAGACTTCTGCTCCGGAAAGAAAATCATTTTGTGAATGCGGAATATCCGGAATGTATGTTATATGTCACTCCGGCTGAAATATCGAAAATATCAATTTGCCATACGTTCTGCGGTCGGTATTCGTACAAAGCGAAGGGAATAATTGCTGCGGAACGCGACAAGATTAACTATAATTCCATTATAATTATGAGTAGTTACGCTGATAGAGGCCTCAAGTGGGCCATTAATGCGAAATGTCAGGTGTGCACATCATCATCGGCCGTTTGTTCGCCCATTCTAGCCCCTTCCGTTTTCCGACGTGTTTCTCGCTCGATAAAAGGCTTAATGGACCGACAAGCGATCGTTAGTATAAAAAGCGAGATTTTTTTATTTATAGACTGCAATCAAAATACCTATGTTTGCGACAAATCGACCCGAAGGGAGCTTCCAACGTTCAACGCTTTCAACAATTCTGAAGTAGGTGACGGGAATTTATTTCGAAAATGGAATATTGCTCTTTAGGAAAGAAAGGTTTTGACTTTCTACTTCTTCATCTTTATACAAAAAATCTTTTTACCTTTCTTTGGAAGAAACAACCGATGAAAATGTTGAGAAAGTGAAGAAAATTGTGATGGAGAATCGTTGAATCACTATGAGAGAAGTTGCTGAGGATATCGGCATATCGGTTGGCGTAAAGCGAGTGGCAGCGAAACTCATTCCAATATTGTTGAATTTTGACAAAAAAAAACCGTCTCATAAGCATCGCTCAGCAATTGCTAAATGACGTTAACGACGATCCAGATTTGCTTGAAAAGGTCATAACTGGTGACGAATCATGGATGTATGGTTATGACATCGAAACCAAAGTCCAATCGTCCAAAGGAGAGCTAAGACCAAAAAAGCAGCCAAGTTCGATCAAATATCAAGGTTCTGCTCACCTCGATTAGCGTGGCAAAGTTCATGAGGAGTTTTTGGCACATGGTCGTACGCTCGAAAGGAGTATTAATCTTGAAGTTATGCGCCACTTGCGAGAAGCAATACGTTGAAAAACAAAGTAAGCCTTTTGCATCACGATAATGCACCTGCTCACTCATCATTGCTCGTTCGTAATTTTTTGTCCAAAAACAATATTGTTATCATGCCTCAGCCACCGTATTCACCAGAGTTTGTCCCTTACGACTGTTTCCTGTTCCCAAGATTGAAGAGACCCATGGAACAATTTGGATTCCAGCCGATGTCTTGGAATCCAAATTAAATGACGAGACAAGTATGCTGTTGTCAGCAAAGCAATATATTGGATTCTTGGGTTTTTTCAATAAAAGGGGTTGGAGATAATATGGTTTTCTGGGGAAAACTAGCGTTGATGGTGTGGAAGTATTCGAGAGATATCCATCGACGGCCACTTGCAGGGAACGTTTTTTCAGGAAGCTGAAGAGCCATACACAAAAGTGATCTGAGAAGCCATAACATCGAAATTTGGCCAGCTAACCCTCATTCCACACACGGTCAAAGGTCAAGCGCAATAGCTCTTGTTGATCTTTGTTTCCGAAAGCCATATTTATGATCACTCAAGATGTTGAAGCCTTCTAAATATTTGAGGATATGGTGGTTCACGGCTTCCTCCATGTTTTTTGGTATCTCTAATAGCAAAGCGACTGATCTATAGTTACTTGGAAGAGTTTTCTTGCTCTTTTTGGGAATATGCTGAACGCGGGCAATCTTCCAATAAGAAGGAATAACGCTTTTCTTGTAAGACAGGTTGAAATGTCTGCAAAATACTGGTGCGAGTTCTTTTGCGCACTTTGACGTGCACCGTGCACCAGATACCGTGTTGATATTGAGCTGTTTCAAAAGTCGCCTGACTAGACGCTGTCGAATTGTGGATTTTGTAAAGTTCTGATTAACGGCTTTAGCTAACGACCAGAAGGATCTAGACCCGTTAGGATTGGCAAGCAGTTCATCCCTAATTCTCTGATTGTGAAGTTCTTTGCCGTCATTCATCCTAAGTTTGAAACTGTTGCGAGCATTAATAAACCTAATTCGGTTTTCGGCACTGGGATTTTTGGGCCACTGCCGGCGACACTGGAGGCGACACATTGCTCCCAATTTTTGTTGAACCAGGGTTTGCCGTTAGAAGGTCGTTTCATTGAAAATTAACTGACTGAGAGCCCACATGAAGTGCCAATATAAAAATGTGGACAGATTTTCAATATGTCTGCGAATAAAGAAGATATAGGCAAAAAAATAATTTGGGATTTTTTAGTTTTTCCTGTATATCTCCAGAACCAAAAGAGCTATATTCGATTTCTTCACATCATTGAATAGGTCTCTAAAATACGCAACTCTGTCATAATTCAATCGACACTCTTTCTCTTATCGTTTACGAGATCCCCATGTACAGAAACGAATTTGAATATCCCTGTACATTTATATATCTAGAAAAAGTAAATTCTCTGGCAAATAAAGCCAAAAGTTAACATATTTCTGTTTTGTTCCAGGCCATCTATGACATGCTGGGAGCCTGCTCGTCCAACCGCCCCGCCGATTCGGCCGAAGAACGAGCCAAGAACATTTTCGCCAAAATGGACGAAAACAACGACGGACAACTCACGCAAGAGGAGTTCCTGAAAGGTTGCCTGCAGGACGAGGAGCTCTCCAAGATGTTGGCGCCCTAATGCGTTTAGTCTGCGACAACCGTCGAACGGTTCTCGAAGAACCGCCGGTATCATCCATTCTTTGATAAAATTAAGAGACTTATTAGGTGTGACCAAAAAATTAGCAGAGACCACGACGCCGCAGGTTCAGTTGAAATGACAGAAAACAAAAGGACATCGACGATGTAGGGACTTGTCGTATATTTCGTTTCGCCTCTCTCATCTCTTTCTATAATCAGCTTTTTACTAAATACAGCTTTTCGGAATACTTTAGGATCGGACAGGCCTATCCACGCGCGCGAACATGGCGTCTAGACGGGAGCGGTCATCACCTGTGTTATGTAGTCGTTCTTCGAAATCAACAAACTTGGGGCGTAATCTTTATAAGTATAGTCACTAGTGACATCCGCGTTCAGAAGGTTCACCTTCCGAATATAATGATATAATAGTCCAACTGAACATCGGAAAGAATTATCCATCTACTTATAAAAATACTTTGATCGGTAGATAAGTTGGAATATAACGTGATACTGGAAACGAAAATGACAGTTCTAGAGTCCATCTGCTAGCCTAAGACCTGTTGAATTTTAAGTATATCAGGCAACTTGAAATCCATAATAGGCAACTTGAAATCCATAATAGGCAACTTGAAATCCATAAACGTACTGTATCGATGTTAGTGGTTCCGAAATATGGGGTCTGGTGAGACGTTTGCTGCGTACTCTATATTTGCAAAAAAATTTCTAACGCATTGCATTTTTGAATCGAATATTCTTGATAAAATAGTAGTGCATCGAACGTATGGCTCGAATCGTTACACTTTTTTTTAAATGATTAATCTATATAATAGTATACGGACTTCCATTGTCTAATATTATACAAGATGATTTGAAATCCCTGAAAGAACCAATGAAAAAGAAGGAAAGAAAGAAGAAGAAGATAGAAAGAAAAAGAAAGGGATTTCAGGAATTTCAAATCATTTTGTATAATATAAGACAATGGAAGTTCATCATGAAACATTGTCAATCACCTTTAAACAAATATTTTCAGTATTTGCTGTAGTCACTTCATTTATTGTTGACTAGGTTAGATTACAGATTATATTTTGTTTCATTGAAAATTGAATTATGAAGCTATTATATTATCAATTAATTTGCTATTAGGACATTCACTAAATTTGTTTCCAGCTTCAGAAATAATAATAATAACTGCCCTATCGCAGTTCGAAGCTTTCAACAGAGAGGTTGGACAGCCTGAGCTCAATGAACTGCGCAACCCGATAACTCCGAATGACCGGATGACGTTCGAAGAGCCCTTGTGTGGTCCAAGAACTTTGCTGCTCCAGACTGAACACTTATTGGTGCAGAAAAAATTAACAAGCACCTATAGCCATCTGACCAGAGTTTTCAACTCATGGCTGGATGGAGAGCAAACCATTCCGGATTGGTTTGTCGAGGGACGGACCGTTCTCATCCCCAAAAGCGGAGATTTGTCGATTCCTAAGAATTACAGACCGATAACATGCTTGAATTCGTGTTATAAGTTGTTCACAAGCATCTCATACACACGAATACTCACCGTAGTTGACCGAGTATTCGAGCGGATATATGAGCAGAGAGGGTCGAAGAGAACAGTTGCTGGATGTAAAGAGAACCTGCTAATCGATACATGTGTAACGCATGACTCGATACAATATAAGCGGGAACTCTCTATTGCCTGGATCAATTACCGTAAGGCATTTTATACAATATCGCATGAGCTCATCTTGCATTTGCTCAGATGCCTTGCGGTACCCGACAAAATAGTGGGATGCATTAAACAACTGATACCACTCCGGCGAACTCGCTTCAGCATAACATCTGGTCAAGCCAGAGTCCAAACAGGGTGAGTCACTTTCAGAAGGGGTGTATTTCAGGGCAATTCCCTGAGTCCCCTTTCCTTCCTCTTCTCTCTTGCCATTATCCGTTGCGCTCAGAAATAATCGAGGGTATAACTGCGGCACCCCCAAAAACCTGAGGCACAAGGTCACCCATTTGTTTCATGTGGATGATCTTAAACTTTATGCCTCTGGAGAGAAAGATCTCCATCAGTCCTTGAGAGTGGTGGAAGAGTACACGCATGCTATGCTATGCTGTCGCTATGAAATTCAGGATAGACAAATGTGCAATGGTCCATTTCGAAAGAAGACGATGCGGGGATTACCGAGAGGATGTGCAGCTCGTAGATGGAAGCATCCTACACAATTTGGATGCCGGAGAGACGTATACTCACCTCGGGGTGGAACAACGCCACTCACAAGAGGTACCAGCAATAAAAAACTCTCTCCGCGGCAAGTACCACCACAAGCTTCGACAGATGTGTTCATCGGAACTGTCGGGGAAGAACGAAGTTGCTGCAACAAATATCTTGCCGTTCCATTCTTACCCTACTCGTTTGGAGTAGTGAAGTGGACTCGGGAGGAGCTGTATCAACTCGACGTAAAGACCCGAAAAATGATGCATCCCAAATCGTCCGTTCCACGGTTGTACTTCCCCCGACAACAGGGAGGTCGTGGACTTATGAGTTTGGAGTGTCTACATGACAGAATGGTACTGGATATAGCCTGTAAAGTTGTCAGGAGTTGTACGAACATTGAAAAGAAAAGTATGCAGTAGGAATAAAGACATCTCAATATGAAATGAAGTTAACAGTAAACCAGATATTCCTGAATTGAATATGGTTCTAAGTCTATGAGGAAATCTTTCACATATTTTTTAAATTTCTTAAGGCTGTCTCAGGATTCATTATTTTGTGGTAATTTATTGAAAAACTTGATTGATGCATTTGACGGATGCTTTTCTGTTAGTGTTAGTTTATGAATAGGGAGACATATATTTGCATTCCGAACTACGAACTACTGATTCACGTGATCACAAAGTCAAATTCCACAATTGTCAATAGTAATACCACAAGACTTCAAAATGTTATCGATTAATTGCTCAAAAATAACAAAAGTTCGAGTTTAAGAAACTGGACATTCTGAGAAAATTTTTAGGTCGACTGGTATTCGTGAAGATTTTTTCCTGGAATATTATCAGCTGGATATATCGATATAAGAACAACATATCAATTCTCAAATCGAATAAATTGTATTACCTGTATAACAAGGAATTTGAGCAATATCGAATATATGAACAGAGTAAGCAAATTACTAAACTCGTCCTACTTGACACGGCTAGAAGCATCACCAATACGTCGCGTATTCGTTTAGCTTTCATTGAAAGTAAGAAAAACGTTTCTATTCGAATCAGGAATACCTTATTATATGGATAAGTTTCGATCATGAGATTTTTGGATATCGTAGATACATTTTTGGTATCCAAGCAAGAGTTTGAATTAGAGAATTGTCTTATTTTCGTGAGGTTATGTCAATCAGTGTGCCAATGTGTTCATTTTATTTGTGAGTTTAATTTGATTTACATATTCATTTGGGTTGTCTCAATAGAGTTACGGCCCAGTTAGTGCCATAATCATAATATCAAATAAAACCCCTGGATTTCTGTAGAAACATTTATGATAAGTTTCAATATTCAGTCACAATTATATTTCAATATTTGATTCCTTTGGTTCGATTTGATTAGGACAGCGACAGTAAATGGAATTGTAAGAGAACCGTATGATTCAAGAATAATCACGCAGATGTTAATTTCATGGCTGTGAGTTTTATCGTTGTTGGAAAGAAGTATTTTATCGCTGTGAAACTCTATTTTGGTGGCCTATCCTTCAATTTTTCCATCAGTTTATCGGTTTCGAGGAAATACTCAATAGTAAAAGAAATAAACAATTTTTACAATATACTATCAACAATAAATTGCGTAATGAACGAACAGAACAGATACTGGATGTTACTGATAAAGAAGAGACTTCATTTATTGAAACTATACTAGCTTGATATAAAGATTCACTTTCAACTATACTAGCTTGATATAAAGATTTACTTTCAAGCATCTTCAATACATTAAACGTCTCAATAGAACGATTTTGTTGCTCGTGAAGCCCATACAGTTATTTACATGGTTCCTTTGTAATGGTCTAATTTCATACAAAATAATCACAAAAATTATATATCAATTATTTTTCGCAATAAAAACCATTTTGGATTTGAGACTTGACGTTAGGCTCACACGCCTTCGATAGGCCTGAGCCGCGTGGGTAAGAAGGCAACTCTCACAGTCTGGTTGGACTTTCAGAGAAAGATCTATTGGATGTGTTAGAATTGTATCGTTGATCAATAAATCCTGTTCACTGAAAATTTTTGAATAATCTTTCGGAAAAGTATAGGTTTCCAGAGTAGAATTGACGCTATATAGGGGTTTCAAATCGAAATCTCATTTCTTCGAAAACATAGAGAACCGATTATGTTGTACATAGAGGCGATATAAATTCAAAAAAAAAATTGTTTTTCGATTCTGAACAACTTCTCCAGACTAACTAGAAATTTACTTTTCACAATGAAAACGTCACTGTTAGCTCTACTCTATAAAAAGCAGAAACAGCTGAAAATAGCGAAGCTATTTGCAAAAGAGCTGTTTGCAAAAGAGTGATCATCATGTATTAGGGGAAGTATAATAAATGATATTCATGCTGTATATGAAATCAATTTTACTATATTTATAAGAACATTCGATGACAAAATACTACCTCTTGTTATTCCTACTAAAAAGTCGGGTCACGATTCACAAGCAAATATATGCACTTGATGCAGTTAACCTATATTGACGTGTGAGAGTCGTACATAAAATCACTGGGACTGTTGGGTAACTAATTGCGTGGGCCATATGCCAGATCTCAGGCGGTTAAAGTATTGATGAAACAAAATGTAATCTGAAACCTAACCTCGTCGACAATAAATCCAGAAGCAAAGAGTATTACGCTCGTCACGCTTAGATACCAAAGAGAGAAAGCGCGTTATCGTGAAATATTCTTCGGGAAACATATGACCAAGTAAATGAAAATGCCAATAAATTTTTTCTGAATTTCAAGTTGCCTTTCCCACTTCTTGGAAAAATGACAGATTCACGGAATTGGGGACTCTGGCTTAAAACAAATGTGAAGCAAGGTCTTTCTGTTTAGCTTTATCAGATATTCTCTAAATGTTTCAATGTTTAAATAACGTAAGATTATAACTTCAAAACATAATTTTTTAGCTTCTGAAATTATTGAAAGCTGAAGGATAATGACGTGAATGGACAATTTTGAAATCATTCTTGAATTATTATTACCATAACTGGATATGCCTCTTGCTAGTAAATGAACTATTATGCAATAAACATAAGTGTATCCCTAGAGAAAAATTGATGAAGTGTATCCAAATGGTTCAAACAATGAAGCATACAGATTCATAGGAAACTTACAGAGCCATTAGAGCTATTGAGATTACATCTAGAGCAAAATTTGTGAAATATCCATATGGTTTAAACAATGAAGCATCCAGGTCATCTGAAAACTTGCAAAGCCATCAGAAATTCATAGAAAGGACGTTCAAAAAGCAAAATATGCAAGAAAAATTAGTAATTCAGTAGGACTATCAACTAAATTATCAAAGACAGAATGGAAAACTACTTCCACAGTAAAAGTACAGGTTTTCGAAAACAACAGAAAACGTGATTTGGTTTTTTAACCAATCTAATATAGTCTCTGATTTCAAGAATTACTCTTACTCTTACTACCGAGATGTGAAACAGTTTCAGAAAGAATTGTGTCTTACAAAGGTCTTAGACGCTGCTGAAATATGAATATTTGGAGGCTTTATGAAACGGTTAAGTTTAGAGTAAGCTACTTTAAAGAAAGTTTTGACGGCATTGCCTAGCTTAATTTTGGGATGAGAAGTTCCTCA